TAATGAGGGGTGAAGAAAATCAAAACTCACTGTCAACAGGTAGGAAATTGTGAAGAAAGTTTTAGAAGTAGATATATGTGAAAGAATTGCTGGATCACTGAAAATGTCCAAGCTTTTTCATAATTATCCATAAATATATAATTCTAGTAATTATATATAATTTGAGAAAAATAATTTCTAACTCTGACTCTCAATACTAAGAAATCCTGCTTGGCCAATTTGTTACATGTCAACTATTTTATTCGTGTGTTAATTCAGCAAATATTTACTCAATACTTACTATGCCAGACATTCCTATATCCAAAGCTTTGTGTTCAAACTACTTTGAGATTACATGTAGGGTTTCCATGATGTTCTCTGTAGTCACTGGATAATTTAACCAACTGACACCTCTGTCTGCAGGATCTATATACGAATAGATCGGAGGTACATTTTACTGGTTGGAATTTATGTAATAATCAACATCATAACTATTAATTATCTGCTTCATAATCCTACCATACTAAGCCCTTGTTCGTATTTTTCCTGTCCTTTCCTTTTTAGGAAATCTCTAGTGAGTTTTTTCCTTGCCTGTTTTCTACAAATCTTCCCAGAGGACCCAGACGCTCTGGTGGCTTTCACTATTGTGACACAGAACTTAATATTTCAAAATACACAATATTTGAATACTTACATTCCTGATTGCTCGCCTGTTTGCACTAATTCTGGTTACAGAATACTTTTCAGCATAAATCAGAAAGGTACTTGAAAGCTTTCTTTTGCTTTCTTCCTTTCTTGACAATTTCATACAGGTTCACAATGAGTTTTGATTGTCTTTAGGCCTCATTACTCTCTATTATAACCGTCCCACCCTGGATTCCTTCTTTCAGAAATCCCCCTAAGCATATTAACTCAGGAAAACCAATGCTGCCATGCTCAAGTATGTTTGCAAGTGGTTTATATAAGCTTTCAAGTACAATTCAAATTTATGCTGAAAGTATTCCATAATAAAAATTAGTGCAAATGGGCAAGCAATCCGGAATGTAAGTATTCAAAAACTACGTATTTTGAAATGTTAAGTTCTGTGTCACGATAGTGAAAGCCACTGGAGCTGCTGAGTCCTCTGGGAAGATTCATAGAAGACAGGCAAGGAAAAGACTCACTAGAGGTTTTCTTTAAAAAAAACAAGGATAGGAAAAAAAAATACTGCAGATTATGATACAGTTCTGAAACTTGAAAACAGGGGAAAAGGAAGAGCAGTGTGTGCGAAAAGCTCCAGAAGTCTCAGACTGCCTAAAAGCTCTGCAGCAAAGATTCCTGATGAGAGACTATTGTGCTGGGCTGAAAGGTCAGGCTCTGTTGTCCTCACAGGGCTCCGTGGCTGTGGTTACCTGATAAACAGAATGGCCATGTGTCCTACTTTGCTTCTCTCTTGTGTTATAAATACTGTGACCAAACACAACCTAAGAAGGGAAGCGTTTGATTCATCTTACAGCTTACAGTCCACCATGAAGGAAGTCATGTTAGGAACTCAAGGAAAATACCCAAAGGCGGGAACTGAAGCAGAGGCCTTGGAGGAGTGCAGCTTACTGGCTTGCTTCCCTTAGCTTGCTCAGTCTGCTTTCTTATACACCCCAGGACCACTTTCCCAGGGAAGGCACCAACTGTAATGGACTGGACTCTTCCACATCAATCATTAATCAAGAAAATGCCCTACAGACTTGCCCACAGGTTAATCTGATCTTGACACTCCTCAGCAAAGTTCTCTCTCCCCGGGTGACTCTTGCTTGTATCAGAAACAGATAAGCATGCCATTATGACCTAGAAAGTACCACGCTAGAGCCTTCCAGCTAGCCAAACTCACAAGTAACCAGCCCTCTTGTTTCTTAAAAGGATATCTGAACAGTGGCTCTTCATGACTGTCACCACCTACACTGAAGCTCTGGAATGATCTATTTTTACGTATATGCTCATGGAAAATTAGTCAATAAATGTCAGCTAATGATCGCATTTGTAGCCATTATCCTTTCAGGACTTTCCTTCAGTTCAAGATGACCAATATGAAGGCTGGGTACTGCTGATCAATCATTCCTGTGTACTTGTTATGTCCTGCCTCCTCCGTGGTGAATCTTGACTTTCTGGTGAGCATTACTTACAACTAAAAATCTTTTACACTTCATATCTACTCCCAGTTCTCCATACACCCTCACCTATCGCAAGCCTCCTCATCCACAGTCTCAGTTCTTTTCCTGTGAGTCTTCCATCAACTACCCAGTAACTGGTCACTGTCCAGGCATATGTGTGCATGTGTCTATGAACAATGTATCCTACTTTACCTTAAGGGTTCAGTTTTAATACGTGTTCCATAAAGGACAGACCATCTAGGAAGCATGTCATTATTGTTATTATTGTCAGTGCTATATTGCAAGATTTTGGCATTAACTGGTCTTGAGTACAAGTTCCAATATTCACGGATGTCTTTTGACAAGTCAATTAACCTCTATGCACCTAGATGTCATTGTCTGTAAAACACAACTATATATCATGTAACCTATGTAATCAATAAAATGATGGTACCTGTATTACATACCTAATACATAATCTATTTGTGATTATCATGACATCTTCTTAACAGGGCTCTGCACCCCTTATCTCTTCCCGCTGGAGCCCACTATTGCTATTATTATCAAAACTCTCAAACTGAGAATAATATGAATCACACCATTTCTTCATCAACAAATTCAACCATAGTTCTTTCAAGATAGATTATCAAATCATTATCACACTATAAAATGCGTGCGGGACTTGACTTTTATTTCTTTCCCCTCCTCTCATGACACAGTTCAAATGTTGCCAATGGCAACCTTTGAAACGATGCAGGTGCAGAGACTGGTGGCAGGGCTCCCACATCATCTGGGATTCAGGAGTGTGTTAACTGGATACAGCCGCTACAGTACACCTCCTCTTCCTGGGGCAGATGGGTACTTGCCCCATTTATGAAGACACAAATGCTCATGCTGTCAAATATCAAATCGGGGCTGCCACGAAGATGAAAAGGAATATAATAGATAAATCTAATCAAGGGAGTTTTCCAAGAAAAGCGGAATCATGATAAAACTCAGCTTCTGGCTTTAATCTTGACACTGGAAGAGGAGAGAGAGAGTGCTGCAGGAGGCTCTGTGAAGGCAGACAGCAGGAGGAGAGCCAAATATCCATGTGAGGTGATTATCAGAGAGCCCAGGCAAGTCTTTGTTAGTTCAGGGCCATGAAGGTAGACAGGATTTCTACGAGTGGAAGCAACGGGGTTACTTTCAACAAATAGGATAAGTGTCAAGTCTGGTTCATCCATTTGTGGCCAAGTGTAAAATCACTACAGAGAAACAAATACCTCAAGTGTAATCTGGGCACTGCTGGACTATAGAGATTCTGGGTATCCTAATCAGCCATTCTCAGCTGTGATGTACATCAGGATCACCTGGTGAACTCATAGCACACATAATGTTCACTGGAGTACAGTAGGATGTGAGCTAGTTTTGATCAATTATTCCAGGTAATTTGTCTTAGTTGAATACCCCTCTTTTATTGAAAATGGATTTGTTTTCCATACAATATACCCTAATTACATTTTCTCCTCCTTCTCTTCCTCCCAGCCCCTCCTCACCTTCCCTCCCATTTGGATCCACACCCACTTCTACCTCTTATTAGAAAAAAAAAACATATAAGGGATAATAATAAAATAAAATGAAACAAAGGCAAACAGAAGAAAAGGAGCCCAAGAAAAGGCACAAGAAATGGATATAGATGTAGATACTCACTAGTTCACACACTCAGAAACCCCAAGAGCTTGTGTGGGGTAAAGAAAAAGACAAAAAAAAGTAAAAAATAATAAAATTTTTAACAAGTTAAAGTTTAAAAGAAAAGAAGAGGCCCTGATACATAATGAAACAAGAACCTCCAAAGACTATTGGAGCTGAAATCATTTGCTGTTGGCCATCTGCTGCTGGGCATGCAGCCCACCCTTAAGAGTGGTTTGCTGCCCAGCGGTGGTGGTACACACCTTTATTCTCAGCTCACGGGAGACAAAGGCAGATGAACCTATGAGTTCTAGGACAGCCAGGACTACACAGGAGAAGCCTGTCTCAAAAAACAAACAAAAGAGTAGTTTGTTTCCCTAGTGAGTAAACTAAATTTTCATTTGCAAGTGGTTATCACTTGAAGATAGATTCTGGGCTAGGGATGGAGACATATGTCTATTTGTCCTTTCAACTCCATCTGGTATAGATCTGTGCAGGACCTGTGCATGCTGCTTCAGTCTCTATGACTTCATACGTGCTTTGGTCCTGTTGTACTTAGATGGCTTTGTTTGCTTGGTGTCCTCAATCTCCTCTGGCTCTGATACTCTTTCCTCCTCTTCTTCCACAGCATCACCTTAGTTCTGATGGGAGGGATACGGTGAAAGCATTTCATTTAAAACTGAGTATTCCAAGGTATCTCGCTTTCTGTATATTGTCTGGATGTGGGTCTCTGTCTCTTCCTATCTACTGCAGAAGGAAGCTTCCCTCATGTAGGATGAGAAAGGCATTGATCTATGAGTGTAGCAGAATGTCATTACGAGTCATTTTACTGCTGTTTTTGTTTTGTTGTTGTTATTGTTGTTTAATGTTGGTACTTGGTTTTACTTTAGGTCCCTGAGGTATCTAATCTCAGGTTCTTAGTCAAGAAGCATCAGATAAGGGTTCTCTCTCAGGGAGTGGGCCTTAAATCAAGTCAGATATTTGCTGGTTACTCCCACAAGCTATGAGCCATCATTACATTAGCATATCTTGCAGGCGGGACACCTTTGTAGATCAAAGGTTTATACCTGGGTTGGTGTTTATGTTTCCCCTTTGGTAACCTATGGAGTATCTTCTGGTACCAAAACACTAGCCCAGAGATATAGGAATTGTTAAACTTATATAAATTGATAAACATAATCCACCATATAAATGATCTGAAAGAAAAAAAAAATACCCACATGATCACCTGCCCCGAGAGGCATCGCAGGTGTGGCTGCTGGGTCACATGTGTGTCAGTGGTTGGCAAAGGGGAGACAGGCTCTGTCTATGCTCAGTGTTCTGACCTGTGACTATCTAGATAAGTAGCCTAACACTCTCTGGAAAAAGCGAATGAGACTGATACAACCACCAGTCTGGTGCCAGGCAGGCTCCTAGGATGGGGAGCAAGCTGGAAACTACAAGAACCCAGCCTGGGACCTCAGAGCCCCCGATGGGAGTGAGTCCAAGACAGATGACCCTCACAAGGGGCTACTTGGGCAAGCCAGGTGAGAAGAGAGCTTGAGATGACCACCAGTCTGGTGCCTTGAAAGTCGGGGGTGGGAGAGGCCAGACCATGCCTGAGAAACCCCTATCCAGTGTCATAATGCATGAGCTGGACATAGCACTCCTGAGACAATTCCTGCGGTAATCACGGACACCACTAAGAGAAGCAAGTAAATGGTGGAGAAATAGAGCAACAGAAGGATGTGGACACATTGAAGAGAGGCAGAACTGGAGACTCAAGGGTAGTGAGGAACAGCCTGGTGTGCGTAGCCAGTGATGCTACCTGTCACCACATCTGAGTCAGTGACTATGCAGCAGCAGTGGTCCGTTACCACCAAAGGCCAGGTATGTCAAAGGTCAGTGTCTGAGGGTTGTGCAGAACTGGCTCCACGCCTCACCTGGAAGTCGTGGGAGAGCTGGCCCTGGAGGCAGGAGAGCAGGAGAGCTGACCCCACTCCTAGCCAGCTCCCTGTACTTTGTGGGAGTTGCGGGAGAGCAGTTGCTGGCCCTGCCACTCATCTACAGTGCGATGGCATGGAAAAGGAAAAAGATACTCTCCTCCCCCCACTAGCCCTTGCCACCTGTAGTAAGTGAAAACCTGGCCTCGGGGTCATGAGAGCAGAAGAGGTGGCCCTGCCCCTCACCGGCCACAGCACTCTAGAGAGCAGGCCCTACACACCTGTGCTGCACAATAGAGCTGACCCTGAGGGTGGGGACATGAGTGACCTGGCCTCAAGGGTGTGAGCATGGGAGAGCTGGCCCTGCCACTTTTCTGCCATTCAGCAGCTGGCTGTGTAGGTAAGGAAGAGATGCCCTCCCTTGCTTTCAACCCTTGCCACCTGTGGCAGAGGGAAGAGCTGCCCTGGGGTCATGGAAGCAGATGTGCCCCTGCCCCTCACCTTCCACATCACTCAGAAGAATGAGCCCTTCACTGTGCCTGGGCAACACAGTAGAGCTGAGGGTTGCAGGTGAGCATTTCCCAGGGCATGAGCACAGAAGAGTAGGCCCTGCCTCTTGTCTACTGTGTGGTGGCACGGATGAGGGAGAGATGCCCTCCTCCCCTCCCTCATTCCTCATCACCTATGGCAGTCAAAAAAGCTTTCTCCAGAGTCTTGAGAGAGGGAGGATTGGTTATGTCCCTCACCAGAACAGACCTTGCACCTCACCTGGACAGCAGAGGGAGCTGACCCTGGTTTCAGGAATTACTAGTGAGATAGCCCTGAGGTGAAAGCCAGAAAGCTGGCATGCTGACCAACTCAGATATCTCTCAGGCCCATATCCAGGGCTTTTAATTGGCCTACCCTAATATCTACCCCATTGATAAATTGCTGGAGTACATGAAGGGACCGATCCTACAGATCCAAAACTACAGGATTTTCATGACACAAGGCAACAACAGGATATCTAATAAAAGTCCCAATGAGGTTCCAGTATTTAATAGTGTAGCAGAAGCCAAAGGCCTTGTATCAGACCAATAACTCATTGCAATGAACATTTGCAAGCAAATGAAATGTGGACCTCCTGGAGAGGACAGGAGCTCCACAGGAAAGCAACAGAACCAAAATATCTGGGCACAGGGGTCTTTCCTGAGACTGATACTCCAACCAAGGACCATTCATAGTTATAACCTAGAACCCCTCCTCAGATGTAGCCCATGGCAGCTCAGTACCCAAGTGGGTTCACTAGTAAGAGGAACAGAGACTGTCTTTGACATGAACTCAGTGGCTGGCTCTTTGACCACCCCGCCCCCCCGAGGGAGGAGCAGCTTTGCCAGGCCACAGAGGAGGATATTGCAGCCAGTCCTGATGAGACCTGATATGCTAGGGTCAGATGGAAGGGGAAGAGAACCTCCCCTATCAGTGGACTTAGAGAGGGGGATGGGAGGAGATGAAAGAAGGAGGGTAGGATTGGGAACGAAAGAGGGATGGGGATACAAAGCAAATAAAATGTAATTAATGTAAAAAAATAAAAATTTAATTTAAAAAAAAGAAGTGTGGACATAAGGGTGTACTGTAGGAGACACTGTTATACTGTTACACACTACAAATTTCACAAATTTCCAAATTTCTCTTTTGGAGTCAGAAGTTTGCAAAGGTGGAGGATGAGTATGAGGATAGAAGATGAGTGGGGTTGTTTTACATAATGTGAAGATCCAATAAAAATTGTTTTAAAAAACGCATCATCATCTCATTATATAGCATCCCTTCATGATAAAAATCCTACAGAGATTAGGGATACTAGGGACCTATCTCAACATAATAAAAACAGTTTACAGAAAGCCCATAGCCAACATCAACTTAAATGAAGAGAAACTCAAAGCAGTTCCACTACCATCAGGAACAAGACAGGGTTGTCCACTCTCTTTATAACTATTCAATATAGTTTTTGAAGTCTTAGCTAGAACAATAAGATAACTGAAGGTGATCAAGAGAATACAATTTAGAAGGGAAGAAATCAAATTATCTTGATTTGCAAGTGATGTAATATGTTATATATAAGGGACCCTCACTATTTCACTGGGGAACTCCTACAGCTGATAAACACTTCAACAATGCAGCAGCATAGAAATTAATTCACAAAAATCAGCAGCTCTCCTATATACAAATGACAAATGATTGAGAAAGAAATCAGGAAAACACCTTCCAAATGATACTAAAAGCCTTAATAGATCAATAGCCTCAAGTGACATAAAATATCTTGAGGTATTTCTAACCAAGCACCTGAAAGACTTGTATGGTAAAAACTTCAAGTTACTGAAGAAAGAAATTGAAGAAGGTATCAGAAGATGGAAAGATCTCCCATGATAATGGATCAGTAGAATAAACACAGTAAAAATGGTCATCCTACCAAAAGCAATCTACAGATTCAGTGCAGTCCCCACCAAAATTTCAACAGAATTCTTTACAGGTATTGAAAGCACAATCTCCAGCTTTGTATGGAAAAAAAAAATCCCAGGATAGCTAGAACCATCCTGAATAACAAAAGAACTAAAGGAAGTATTATCATCCCTGATCTCAAATTGTACTTCAGGGCTATAGTAATAAAAACATGGTATTGGCACAAAAATAGTCCTGTTGATCAATAGAATCAAAACATTGACCCAGACCTAAATCCACAAACCTATTGACACAGTGTTTGTTGATAAAGAAGCGAGAAATGTACTCTGAAAGAAAACACCTTTCACAAATGGTTCTGGCCACGCTGGATGTCTACATGTAGAAGAATCCTAATAGATCCATACTTATCACCCTGTGCAAAACTCAACTCCAAATGCATTAAAGACCTCAACACAAAGCCTGATACACTATGCCTGATAGAAGAGAAAGTGGTTAACAGCCTTGAACTCCAAAAAGACTTTAACTTACCACTGTTAAAACGGGCACTAAGACCAACAATTAATGAGACCTCATGAAACCATAAAGCTTCTGCATGGCAAAAGACACCATCATTTAGACAAAGTGGCAGTCTACAAAATGTGGGGAAATTTTTACCAACTTCATGTCTACACTATTAAGAGAGTTAATATCCAAAATATATAAAGAAGTCAAAAAATAAAACCAGATATCAAGAAAATAACCCAATGAAAGAAGAGGGTATAGATATAAGTAGACATTTTTTTCACTTTACATCCTTGCTGTAGCCCCATCCCTCCTCCTCTCCCAGCCTGACTCTCCCTCCTTCCTCCTCCTGCCTCTCCTTTTCTTCAGAAAAGGGGAACTCTCTTTCCCATCCAGTCCAGCTCATCAAGTTGCATCAGGACTGAGCATGTCCTCTTCCCCTGTGGCCTGGCAGGGCTGTCCTGCCGGGGGAAAGTGTTCAAAAAGCTGGCAAGTGAGTCTATGTAAGATGCAGTCCCCACTTTCTTTACTAGAGGATCCACATGAGGCCTAAGCTGTCCATCTGCTACAACTTTGTAGGGGATTTAGGTCCAGTTCGTGCATGGTCCTTGGTTGGTGCTTCAGCTTCATCAAGCCCCTCTGGGCCCTGGTTAGTTGGCTCTGTTCCTCTTCGTGTGGTGCTCCTGTCACCTCCAGGTCCTTTTCTCTTTCCTCCCACTTTTCTACAAGACTCCTTACACATCGCCCAATATTTGGCTGAGTCTCAGCATCTGTCAAAAGAGGGAACTAAAATGGTTGAGAAGCACTTAAAGAAATTCCAACATACTTAAGTCATTAGGAAAATAAAAAATAATGTAAGATTTCATCTTACACCTGTCAGAATGGCCAAGATCAATAGAATAAATGACAGCTCATGCTGGTGAGGATGAGTTACAAAGGAAAAACTCATCATTGCTAGAGGGAGCGCAAACTCATACAGCCACTATGGGAAAGGGTGTGATGGTTCCTCAAGGAAAATGGAAATAAATCTATGTCTAGATTCAGCTATACAATTCTTGGGCATATACCCAAAAGAACACTTCATCCACAGCAACATTTGCTCAACCATGTTCATTGCTACTCCATTCACAATAGCCAAAAATTATAAACAACCTAGATAACCTTTAAGAGATGAATGGATTTAAAATGTGGTACATTTAAACAATGGAATATAATATTACTCAGCTGTTGAAAAAGAATAAAATTTCACTGGAGAGATGGCTCAGAGGTTAAGAACACTCACTGTTCTTCCAAAGGTCCTGAGTTCAATTTCCAGCAACCACATGGTGCCTCATAACCATCTACAGTAAGATCTGGTGTGTAGGCAGAATGCTGTATAAATAATAAATAAATCTTTTTAAAAAAGAATAAAATTCACAGGTACATGGATGGTACAAGAAACATCCTGAGTGAGGTATCCCAAACCCATAAAGACAACTATGGTATGTATTTGCT